AATCTTCCTCTGATCCTGATGCCAAATTCTTCTTCATAGAGTCAAGCTTCTCAAATAATTTGATCAATATACAGATTAAGTAGGTATGGAGAAAGAATACAACCCTGATGCACACCTTTCCTGATTTTAAACTGTGCCGTGTTCTCTTACAAGCCTCTTGGTCTAGGTTACAGGTTTCACATGAGCACAATTAAGCAATTAAGTGTTCTCATTCTTTTCAATGCTAGCCACAATTTGTTATGATCCACAGAGTCAAATGCCTTTGCATAATCAATAATAGACATCCTGGCATTCTTTGCTTTCAGCCAGGATTCATCCAATATCAGCAATGATATCCCTGGTGCCATGGCCTCTTCCAACTTCAGTCTTAATATGTGGCAGTCTTTGTAGCTGTAGTTCTAGCTGTTTTTTTAAAAATCCTCAGCAAGGGAGCTCTGGTAGCCTAGTAGCAAGAAGCTGTGCTGCAGTCTTGAAGGTACATGGTTCAAATCTACCAGATACTCTGCTGGAGAAGGAAGGGGTAAGCTTCTCCTGTGCCAGTTGGATCTGATTAGACAGTATACAACAAGAGGGGGGAAAAATCCTCAGCAGTATTTTGCTGGATTGTAATGATACTGTTCTGTAATTTGCGCATTCTGTTGGATCACTTTTCCTAGGAATGTGAGCAAATATGGGTATCTTCTAAACCACTGGCCAGACAGCTGTTCTCCAAATTTACTGGTTTAGACTGGCAAGCATATACTGGCCTGCCTCTATAATTTGAAACATGTCAATTGTTATCTCATCAATTCCTGGGGTCTTATTTTTCCCAGTGCCGTCAGTGCAACTTAAAGTTCTTCCTCTACTACCATTCATTCTCACTCCCTTTTTTATTTTATATTTGGTTTACTTACAAAGTTTATGTAATTGTTTTTCACACTTTATCTTTCCCTCTTCCTTCACACACCCCTCCCCTTCACCAATCAAATTGTGTGACCCTATGATTAAGCCCCCCACCCACCCATTCTCACCCCACTGCTCCCCCTCTTCCCTGCCTCGGATCCTCATATTTGTTTTATATTAATGGTCTTATGTGGTTCCAATCCACCAGACGCTCTGCTGGAGAGGGAGGAGAGGCAATCTCATCCTGTGCCAGTCAGATTTGGTTCAACGGTACACAACAAGAAAAGACCCCACCCCACACCCCAAAAGAGAGAGAGAGGAAAAAAATAATAATGGTCTTACACAGTATTTGCCTTTAAGAGACTGAGTTCACTAAGCATAACTCTCTCCAGTCCCTCCCCAGTTAGGTAGTAATTTACAAAATAATTGCTCCTGCATGCTGCATAGTATTCCATTGTGTTAATGTACCATAATTGCTCTATCCATTCCATCGTGGTTGAACATCTGGGCTGTTTCTATGTTCTTGCTATGGTGAATAACACTGCAATGAACATTGGTGTACAAGTCTCTGTCCCTCAGTTCTCATTTTCTTAAAGTATATTCGAAGCAGTGGAATAGGTAGGTCATATAGAATTCATGGTACTCCTTGAAATATTTCCATGCTGACCAATTCTTTTTGGTACAATGACTCTGAAATATTCTTTCCATCTTCTTTTGATGTTTCCAGGATCATAAAAGAATTTGCCCATAGCATCCCTAAGTATTACAACTCCAGGCTTGAATTTGTTTTTCAGGTCCTTCAGCTTGAGAAATGCTGAACAAATTTCTTTCATTTTTTGTTCTGTTTTAGGTCATTGCACATTCCATTATTGTTTGCTTGTCTTCCAGAGCTGCCCTTTCAAATTTTCTGTTCAGCCCTTTCATTTCAGCATCTCTTCCCTTTATTTTACCTTCCCAACACTCCCGTGCAATTTTCAGGGTCTCTTCACACATCTATTTTAGGTTTTCTTTCCCCTCTTTTAGTGATCTTCATAGATGATATCTTTAATGTCATCTCACAATTCATATGGTCTTTGATTATTGGTGTTCAATCTTCCAAACCTATTTAGATGATTTTTAAATTCAGATGAGATAGATTCAAGATCATCTGTTTGTTCTCATGGACTTGCTTTTATTTTCTTCAGCTTTAAGTTGATTTTGCACATGAGTAACTGATGGTCTGTTCCACAGTTGGCACCTAGTCTGGTTTTGAATGCTAATATTGTGCTTCTCCAAAAATTTCTTACACAGATGTAGTCAATCTGATTCCTATGTAATTTTTCTGGTAACGTCCATGTGCGAAGTCATAATTTGTAGGGTTTTTTTAAAGGTATTTGCAGTGAACAAATCATTGAACACACAAAATTAAATCATTCTACTTCTGGCCTCGTTTCTATTACCACCAAGTCCATACTTTGCCACTCACTATGCTTACTTTTCTTCATTGTTTCCAACTTTTGCATTCTAATCACCAATTATCAATAATGCATCTTGAGTGCATGTTTGGTCAATTTCAGAGTGCAAAATTTAATAATAATCTTCAATTTCCTCCTCTGTGGCTTTAGCTATTGGTGCACAGATTTGAGTAAGTCATATTACCAGGTCTTCCTTGTATGTGTATGAATAATATCCACTCAAAATATACTTCAGGATAGAAGTTGAAATTGTCTTTTTAACTATGAATGCAACACCATTCTTACTCCATTCTTCATTCTCAGCATAGTGATTGTCTGATTCAAAGTGGCCAAAGCCAGTCCATCTCATCTACCTAATGCGTAGAAAGTCGACGTTCATGCGTTCCATTTTATTTTTCACTTCTAGTTTCTCAACATTCATACTCCACACATTCCATGTTCCAAGTATTAATGGATGTTTGCTGCTGTTTCTCCTCATTTTGACTGAGTGCCAATGTGGACAGTCAGCTGTAGTTGTTAGCTGCTATCATACTGATTCCAACTGATGAAGACATATGTGTGCAAGCAGAACTACTCCATAAGGGTTTGCATTGGGAAGCAAACTGCCAGGCCTCTCTCACAAGACACCTTTGGTTGAGTTCAAACAACCAGTATTTCAGCTAGTAATTATGCACTTAACCATTTGTACCATCTAGTTTTAATAAGTAACATTCCATAACAGATATACACTATATTTTAATTATCTATTCATCAATGGTAGACATCTGTTTCCACCTTTTGATTATTGCGACTAGCACTGTAAACAATATGTGTTCAAGGTTTTGTTTGAACATCTGTTTTCAATTCTTATAACTATATATCTAAAAGTACAATTTCTATGTAAAAATCTAACTACACATTTAATTTAATGAAGAACTACAATATTGCTTTCCAAAGCAGTTGTATCATATTAAATACCAACTAGGAACATATGAAGGTTCCAATTTCTCTTATCAACATGTTATTTTCCTTCTTTCTCTTTCAACCACCATTCCAACCCCCACCCCTCTCTTTCAGTTCTGGTTACACTAATAGGTGTGGATCTGATTGAATATCTTTACTTGTGCCTATTTTCTAATAGGATGTCGTCACTGAGAAATGTCTATTCCAAGACCTTTCTCATTTTCAAATTGGGCCATTTATCTTTTTATTACACAGAAGGAACAGAATTTTTAAGAGAATGTGCCAAAAAAAAAGTATATTCATAGGTTACAGTAACCCTGAAGAATTTAACAAACATTCCAACAAAGTCAGTAACTACTGAGGATGGCACTGAAAAGAAATACAGAATGGCACCATACAGGCTGATGTTCCAGGTGCCTTCGAGTCAACTACTGCTCACAGTGACTCTATGAACAACATACAAAAACACTGTCTTATTCCGTGTCATCATCATGATCCCTACCATGCTCAAGCCCCCTGTTGCAGTCACTGTGTTAAATCCATTCATTGCGAGTCTTCAATTCTTTTGCTGACCCTCTAACTTACCCAGCATAATGTCTTTTTCTAAGGACTGGCTCTTCCTAACAACCTGTCCAAAATATACGAAATAAAGTTTCACCATTCTTGCTTCTATGAAGCATCCTGCTTGTATTTCCTCCAGTACAGATTTGTTTCTTCTTTTGTTCCTTGTTTCCATGGGATATGTATGGATGGCAGTTGTGGAAGGTGGCACTCTTAGATGATTAAGCACACTAGCATGCCTATACACTTTGCGGTTGGGTTTTTTAAAAAAATAGAAAGAAAATAAAGCTGTATCAAGTATGTCATTACACATAACTCTCTTTTTCCTTTTGGTTGTTTCACTCTCTTTCTTCAAGCCTGCCCTTACTTCCATTAACCACCAGATTATATGCATATAAAAAGATTTTTAAAAGCAAGCTTATTTATTCAGGATCCCATATACATCCCTAAAACTGAACTGACAACTTCATTTAAAACTTTCATACATAGAAATTCCAATTTAGGTGTTGTTGTTGTTGTTGTTGTTATGTG